CATGCATAGCTGAGCAGATGAGCTGTGTCACCTTCCCCTTCTTTAGAACCTGTGATCGGAGAGTCTCAAAGCAAATCTGAACGAGTTAAGTATTAGTCCCATTTTGCAGACAAGGTGTGGGCACCGACAAGGAGGTGAAGTAACTTGCCTAGGGTAACATCATGCATCTGTGGCAGAGCCAGGGACAGAATCAAGAGCCTTGTCACCCAGGCCTTTGCTTTGGCTATTCATAGAGCTCCAGGTTCCAGCTAACGAGGAGGAGAAGCCCTTTGCTCCGCTCTTCTCTGCCAGAGTGAAACATCATGGGGCGCGCAACAGAGCTTGGGCCTAAGCTGGTTGTGCGTTAAGTGGGTCTCCATCCCTCGACCTTGAGCTCAATCGTGCCACTTAAGTGAGTCACCTCGGGACCATCAGGAATCCATTTCTCCTCTGTGGAGAAAACCACACTAGGAAGCATGGACTTGGGAGCCCCTGTCAGAAGGGGAGTGAGGAGCTAGAAGAAGTTGACCTGTGTGGTCCAGGCTTCTGAGCGACCTGCTGTGCATAGCACCCCTGGTTCTGAGCATTTGCCTGCTGATTGTTACATGGGAGGGTAGGGCCTAGGGTTGAATCACAAACTTCCTTGTCCCCTTTTACGAAGAGTGAGTAGTGCTGTACCTCCCCACAGCCTTTGCTCTCAAACCTGGGTCAGCTCAGCAGCGGCAGAGCTCTGACCTGTTTTAACCTGCTGTTTTGCTTACTCCCCCGTTTTTTCTTTTGTTAATTTTATAGCAAGAGAGGGAGCCAGTGCTCTATGGACTCTAAATAATTCACTGAGTCAGGCTCCATGCGCCAGCGTCCTGGTCATTGCCTATTCCAAGGGCTTAGGACATCAATGCGGAAACTTCTCTCCATCAGGCACAAGGACGAATCCATCACAGCTGAGACACAAGGACCCTTTTTTGCTAAGTGCTGGCTAACGCCGCTTCTCTTTTCCAGACTTGCTGACTTACAAGCTGTTCCCAGTGTTTTTAAGTTCTATGGCTTTTAGCTCTTTCAGCTGTTACCTGCCCTTGCCAGCCTTTGGTAACACACACACTGTGTTTGGCAGCTCCTGCCTGAGAGAGCAAATTTGCTCCCTGTTGGAGTGTATGTTTCCTTTCTTCCCTGAGTCAGAGGTTCAGTGAGGATTACATGGTGGAGAGAAGGAGCGTCTTGCCCAGTTGCTACATGGCATGTGAGTAAGAGTTTGCCGGGAATAAGAACAAGGAAACAAAAATAACTTAAGTGAAATCTTCCAGCCATGCACAAATGGGATCCCAGCAAGGGCAGACGCTGTGTGTCAGAAGCATGGAGATGGGACTCTTTGGAGACTCTGAAGAAACTTCGGCTCCTGGAATATTCTGCTTAGGAGGTTGCGATTTCTCTTGATGTGATATAGTGCAGGTGAGCAGTGCCAGGCTGACAGCATCGACACCATCTGCTTAGTCCCAACTGGATACAGCACCATAAGCAGCCACGCAAGTTTCTCCTAACACTGTTGTGCCAACAGGCCTGATTCTTCACTGCCATGCACCTTCTCATCCTTTACACCTGTAAAACCTGAGTGCTCCCCAATTTTTTAACTCACTGGTGGTTACATTGCCTCACCCACTTTGCACAGATACCAATGCTTACACAATGTGCAAAGTAGTAAAGAATCGGGCACATTGCACCTCAACCCTAACCCAGGGTAACTACTTCTGGGACTAGCAGGGTGCTCAGCCTCTGTTTCTTATAGTTCTCGTGGTCTGATCATAGGCCTGTCAGCCCTGCATTCTAACTTCAGCTCTGATTTTACAGGGGTTCCCTCACCCCTCTTTTTCAGTGTCCTGGTGTGTAACATGGGGTATATAATGACTACCGGCCTTGCAACGGCTCATTATAAGTTTAGTCATTAATATTTGCAAAGTGCTTAGTGCTGTTTCCATGCTTTTGTTGCCTCTGGACACTTCCAGAAAGAGAGCAAGTTGTGATTTTATTTTATTTTTTTGTTTTTGGTAGGGTGGACTTTAGTCTGCTAGGATCCAGTCTGAGACTCACTATTCATTTCCCACAGGGCACCAAATAACCATCAGCTGGTCATAACTTTCAGTTTTCACTGAGCAGGGTTGGATTGCAACTGGTGATCTTAGGGTGAAAGGTTCTGCATCTTAGGGTGAAAGGTTCTCTCCACTCCCTGGGAGAAAGGCTTCTGATTTTAACAACCTGCTTGGGGACTGAAGTTCATGTTTCTCATTAATATAATGAGCTATTCCTATAAAATCTGGTGTGTCTAAGGGTCTGAGATAGTTCAGAAGAAAAAGGGAGGTCTCCAATGATTCACAGAAATTCTTCCCTTCCAGCATGGGAAGAACACCTGAAACTGAGTCTGGGTGGTGGTTGGGATTGACACAGAGGCTACGTCTAGACTGCATCCCTTTTCCATAAAAGGGATGCAAATTAGACGAATCGCAATTGCTAATGAAGCGGGGATTTAAATCTCCCCCGCTTCATTAGCATAAAAATGGCTGCCGCTTTTTTCCGGCACGGAGCTTTGCCGGAAAAAAGCGCCAGTCTAGACGCAGATCTTTTGGAAAATAAAGCCTTTTCCGAAAGATCCCTTATCCCTTATTTTAAGAGGGATAAGGGATCTTTCAGAAAAGGCTTTATTTTCCGAAAGATCCGTGTCTAGACTGGAGCTTTTTTCCAGCAAAGCTCCGTGCCGAAAAAAAGCGGCAGCCATTTTTATGCTAATGAAGCGGGGGAGATTTAAATCCCCGCTTCATTAGCAATTGCGATACGTCTAATTTGCATCCCTTTTACCGAAAAGGGATGCAGTCTAGACGTAGCCAGGAGGTTTGTTTAACATGAGTCTGCCTCAGATTACAGGTGAAAGGAATCTGCTGATCTCCACCTAAGACATGGTGATCCCAAGCTTCACAAATAGTTGCTTAGAGCTAACTTTGGCTGTGACTTATACCCTCTGCAGCTGTAGTGAATTCAGTGGTGTTGCATGGGGGGGTGAGTCAACACAGGTTTTAGTCCGTAGCATGTATATATTGCCTTTCATCAAGGATCTCAAAGCACATAATAAGTGTCATCACATTACCCCCATTTTACTGATGAGAAAAGAGAGGCACTGCTTTAGAGATTAAGACCAAAACTTCCAAACCTGCTTGCCTAAAATCAGGCCCCCAAGCACATCTTTAGGCATCAAAATAAAAGTGGCCTGATGTGCAGTGGCACATTGAGCCTCCTGTCTCTGCAAACCTTCATTTTACCAGATGGGGTTGTGCCATTTTCTGCTAACGTGTATAAACCTGTCCTCTAGCAGTCACGTGGGTAACGGACAATACCTCTCACAGTGTAAGGGAGGGTGCAAATCCACCATAAACAGGTGAATGAATCCTTCTAACTAGGGATGTTAAAGTGTATTTATTTATGTAATAATGTAACTCAGGGGTGGGCAAAAGGGCCTCTGTGGGCCAGATCTGGCCCGCCAAGTGGGTGGATCCTGCTTGCATCGGCTCTGCTGCTCCCCCACCCCCTGGCCAATTAGGGCCTGTGGGTGGTGGAGCTCCCGAAGCCTTCTCCACTCTGCCCCCGCCCTGCTCACAGTGCGCCGTGCTCGCAGGGCAGGGGCAGAGCAGAGAAGGCTTTGGGTGCTCCCCCGCCCCTAGGCCTTAATTGGGGAGTGAAGTGCCATGCGCTATCCGCAGGGTGGGGGAGAGAGTGGAGGAGCTTTGGGCGCTCCCCTGCCCCAAGGCCAATCAGGACCTGGGGGCGGGGGAGCTGCGTCAAGCTTCCTTCGCCCCGTCCCAGCCCTGGGAGGAGCCCGTGGCACTTCAAAGTGCCACATGCTCCTCGCGGGGCGGGAGGAGGCTTCCTGTGCTCTGCCCGCCCCCAGGCCCTGATTGGCCTTGGAGTGGGGGAGCGTGCCAAGCCTCCTCCAGGGTATGGGTGCCTAGTAGGAAGATGAGGCAAAGGGGCTCCCCCATCCCCAAACCAATCATGGTCTGGGGATGGGGAAGCCCTGCCCCTTCCTGTTTAGGCTCCGCCCCTTCTGGGCTGGCCCAGGGCTACTTCAAAAAATTTTGAAGTGGCCCCTGGACAAAAATTATTGCCCACCCCCGATGTAACTGCTGAAATGTTTGGTGGTTACACATTTACAAATGGCGGGGGAGAAGGGGAGCACAGGCTCCTGCCTGCCCCTCCCTGCGCACCAATAAATTCAGCTCTCTCAAACAGTTCAAAAACCCCCCTGGCTTGTTTAGGGTAGGGTTGGAGAACGGGTATTGGAGATTATGAGTTCACATTCCTACCTTAAAACAACAGCTAACAGTTTGGAAAGAGTAAACCGATCTCCACTGTTACTTGGAAACACTGCGGCTAAGATTAAGGTAAAAAGTCCTGTACAAGAAAATAAAAAAGTTGCATCATATCTTTTCAAGCTTTGTTATTTACCTGTTCAATAAACTGTACTATCGCTACCTCAGTTTTAAATGTTTGCTGATCACTGCAGATTAGTTTTAATACTTTTAATTAGGAATGTATTAGAGGCAGCAGCACGGGATGGAAGGGGGCCAGCAGATCCCCGGGAGCCAGCCCTCGCAGGTAAACTGCCTAAAAGCCGGCTCCCTGTGAACACGAGCTCCCACCTGCCCTCTTTCCTCCCCCCGCACTGCTGCCTCTGATACGGAACAGATGAGCTTCTGACAGTGGCCAATGCCAGGTGCTCCAGAGGAATGAACAGAACAGAGAATCAGCAAGTGATCCCTCCCTTGCCACCCATTCCTAGCTTCTGACAAACAGAGGCTAGGGACACCATTCCTGCCCATCCTGGCTAATAGCCATTGATGGACCTATCCTCCATGGACTTATCTAGTTCCTTCTTCCACCTTATTATAGACTTGGCCTTCACAACATCCTCTGGCAAGGAGTTCCACAGGTTGACTGTGCATTTTGTACTATTCTCTCTCTCTCTCATTTTCCTCCTACAGGTGTAAATGCAACCTTCATGCCAACCTGTGCTCCTTTAAGGAGGGCAGCCTGCAGTGTGAATGTGAACACAACACCACTGGCCAGGACTGTGGCAAATGCAAGAAGAACTTCCGCACCAGGTCTTGGCGGGCCGGCTCCTATCTGCCCCTCCCCAACGGATCACCTAACGCATGTAAGTTACTGTACTGCGCTGAGCCCACATTGGCACGCTGCACAGTGTCCACAGATGTAAGTGAGCCCCGCACAGGAAGGGTCGACATTTCAGGATGCCTCCAGGTGGAGTCCATGCCCAGGCCTGCAGGAGTGAAGGGTTTGGTTGTACAGCAGAGGTGAACATTTACTAGGTTCTCAGGGTACACAGGAATGAGATGCCCCATGGGGGGGGCGGGGTGAAGGGAGCTTGGTGACTGTTTGTAGTGGAGTTGCTGGACTGACTGGATGGGGAGGGACAGAAGGATATGCTGGCTCACGGAGGGACAAGTGTAGCCCATCAGATAGCTCCATAGCCTCAGATAGGCATTTTACTCTGAATTACTCTGTCCAGGCTCGCTGATGCGGGGAGGGGCAATGGGCCAGCTGCCCCAGGGCCTGGCGATTCCAAAGGGCCCAGGGCTCCCAGCCACCACCACCCCTACCACAGCAACAGTGGTGGCTGGAGCCCCAGGCCCTTTTAGATTGTTGCCGGAGCCCTGTCCAGTGTCTCCAGGCAGTGTTGAGGGATGCTGAGGGGAGGCTACCCCAGCCCTACCCCTTCCAGGGGCAAGGAGCTAGGCCCTCCCCCCACCCTGTGCCTTGCCCGGGGCCCGGCAAATCTGTCAGCCCCATTGCCCATGTCCCTTAAAAATAACACCCTCAAGGCTGCTGGGAAAATGTGCTTATCTCCATTCAGTGCCCAGTAAGTGCACTGAAAAACAGGCGGCTGGAAGGGAGCGTGGGTGCCCTATTTATTCTCTGCTGGAAGCTGTTCATAGGTCTCTCATGGAGTATCTGGCCACAGTGAAGAACACGGAAGGGTTCCTTTCCCTCAACACTGCGGCTGCGCCGTGTAATCCATTGCCGCATTCACGTTGCGGTACGTGCTCGCATGAAACGAAACACGGCAAGGCTGCAGCCATTATCATCTTAGCACAGGACCGGTGGTGGTGGAAGACACCAGGCACAGTCCAGTCACTCCAGGGTTATGTCCAGTTTGCCTGAGCAAGCTTGCATAAGTGTCAGAGAGCAGCAGTAACCACTCTAGCCTTTTAAGTGGCAGCCTTGAATGTTACCAAAGAGAATCCTTCCTCCTCTCCCCCTCCATTTCTGAAAGATTTATGTGCTTTAAGATGATCAAAGCTGAAATACAGGCTCTGAAGGCCATGACAGGAATGTTCTGTGTGCGCCTGGGATGGGAGATGAACTGGTGCTTTGAAAGGGAACAACCTTGTCATCTACCGCCAAACGCCTGTGTTCCTTCAAAGGAGCCTGGGAGAGTTTTTTGGTGTTGACACAGACAGAGACATGCTATTCTTTTTCCTTTCCTTCCATGTGTCTCTTTCATTTCTCTAGCTCCTGGTCCTTTTCACGCTATCTCCAGCCCCACTTCCCTCCCCATCCTTGCTCTTTTTTTAACATCTGTCTCTCATTTTCCCTTTCCTATATCTCCTCCTCCCTTCGGCTCTGTCTGGCGGATTTACATACTTGTCAAATTTGGAGTAGAAGCAATTTTCCCAAGTCCTTTCTCGCTGGTCATTTCCTAGCGTTTTCATTTCTGGCCACTTTCTTTAAGGTTGGGGGAAAACCTGACTCATCGGTGTTTTTCTGTATTCTGACATCTCAGTTAAATTTAACTTTTTGCCCCTTAAGTGGACCTCAAACATTTCCCACCTGTGACCAATAACTAACTGGCAGTGTTGGAGACTCATCCTCCACCTCACCCAATGAATACACAACTAAGAGGCAATTTCTCCCCACCTAAAACGCCAAGCCTCAGGTCAGGTGTGGTTTTTCTCCTTCCCCCAACCTCCTTTCCTGTTGTTCTGTTCCAACCTGAAAGATGCCAGCCCCAGTACAATCCACTGGTGAGTCAGGGCCTCACTCTAAGAGTGCAGCACCGGTTATGCTCCTATGGCACTTGGTCCCCATATCTCAGACGGGTATATGGCAAGTCTCGAATGCTTACACAGCCCTTCCTGGGTACACTGGCAGGTCAGGAAAAGAGTTAAGAAATTCCATTAGCAGTAGGCAAGCTGGCTTTCTTCCCCCCAGCCACCCAGGTAGATTTCATCCTGTGCCGCAGGATCCAAACATTTCCAAGGCCGTTGCTGTCTGGTCACCTCTATGGTTTGCCTTAGTTTGCTTTTAAGATGCAGGAAGCTGAAGCAAGTATCAACAAGGCCCTTGTTAATTAGCACAAATGGCTTCTTGGCTTTTGCTGACCCTGTTCCTTTTCCTTTCCTCCAGGTGCAGCTGCAGGCTCGGCCTTTGGCAGTAAGTAAAAATGTAACTGAACTGCTGGCATGTGACATCTTCAGCGCATGGGCCCTGTGCACATCATTTGAGAGACAAATGATTCTTTTCTGCTCATTATCATCTGCCAGGCAATAAGTCTTCTCCTTTAATTGTCTCTCATTGTCTGTCCCATCAAAGAGCTTTCTATTTTCCTTCTTTGACTTCAGTAACCTCATTGTTTCTTGCTCTGGCATGGTTTCTCCCCATGAGGTTCGTTAGAATGGCAGCAGGAAAGGAAATTTAAAACAAAAAAAAACCCCCACACTTTCTTCAAAAACACCAGTGAGCACATTGAACTTTTCCCCTCAGTTTCACAGAGTCCTGCTTCAAGGAGCTGGTTTTGAATTCTTTGTTACGGCATCCAGTTTGGATCACCTTGAGCCCATCGATTTTAAAAAATAAAATGTGTGTGTATATAATGTCATATTTTAGGCTCAAGCAAGTGAGGTCCGTGGGGATTTTTTCAGACCCTCAAACCTTGGTTCATCTGGGATCTAGAATTTGAATGTTGTGACTCAGGTTACTCTCTAAAAAACGTAAAGTGAAGTCGGAGAGAGAACACAATGAAAATGTGATGGTGAATGGAATAGACGGGCTTGCTTATGAGGACAAGCCAGCTAAAGAAGGATTATTTACCCTTCACAGAAGACAAGAGGTGACCTGAATTAAGTATTTAAACTAGCTAAGGGTTATTATGAAATTAAGCATGATAATCTACATGAGGTGAGACAAACAAGGACTCAGGGACATAGGTTGAAGTAAGAATTTGTATTCAGAATGTGAGGGATTATTATAATATTGCTGGTCAGAGCAAGGAGGACTGGACTTGAATTAATATTATAGCCACATCATGGTATCAAGTAGTGATCCTGGGCCGAGTGTATTAAATTAATCCAATGTTTGCTTTTTGGAATGTAATAAATGAAAGGGACATCATTTGATTTCATGACCACCTTTTAGTGGCCCCAAGGGAATTATTTTGCTGGTTAAGAGATTTGCCTTAGAGTATGTTTGCCATCACAGAGCTCAAATATATATGAGAAAGATGGCGCAACTATTGTCCAAGTGTTGTGGCCTGTTTTTAACCGCACATAACTATGCAGTTTCCAACTCTCTTTGCCGTTGTCCCATCACAATGTAGACACATTCATTCTCTCTTGTCCTTGCTAGGCTTAATTAGCAATGAGTTAATGATAAAGTCAGCAATATTTAAACTAACAGCCGTACCAACAAAATAAAGTCATGTAATAATCCAACCGAAACACGCACGCCAACTGGACTCTCTCTCAGTTCCCACTGCAAACATAACTGTCTGGAATGGGCTATCCACCCAAACCCAGCAGCATCTTCTGTACATATCCTGCAGCAACTGGATTCTTCTGTTTTCCCTCCTCCCTTCCTCTGTCTCTGATGAAGAGGAAACCAAGAGCAAAGTTTTTTGGTCATCATGGTCCCCGGGTCCTGGTAGGTGATATACTCTCAGGAGTAGGGCAGCCCTTGTGTTCTGTCGCCATCCGCTTCGGGCTGGTTTGTAATGCCCACTGTTAGCCTCCTAGCTAGTGTACTGGATCAAGTCCCCAGGATGGTGTCTTGGTGTGATTTCTAGAGAGTGCTTGTGGGTGACAGAATGGGAGCCCTCGGGGCCAGGAGAGAGCCGTTCCCACTGGCATGCTTGTGGGGCTCTGAGATGACTCACGGCAGGCAGGGGAAATAAGCATCTTTTGAGACTCCTTTACGGGAATAGTAATGGCTGGAGGTTGCAGGGAGTTGGAGCCAATTCTCTCCCATTGGAGTCTGTGGGAATTTTGACATTGCCTTGAGTGAGAGCAGGTCCTGTGTGCCTCCTTCCCCATGAAAACAGACCATGAAGGTGCCCACGAGCTTGTGAGTTTGTGTCCCAGTAAGAATGAACAGTGAGATTCACAGCGAGACCCTCTAGCCTCCACAGGTGCCTTCTTTCCACCTCTCTTCTTTGTTTCTTGTTAGCTTATGAACGACCACAGCGAGTTTCTACTACAAAGCCCACAACCACCACAACACCCAAAACTACCACAACCACCTCTGCTACCACCACCCAGCCTGTCACCACGCAGCAGCCAGGTGGGTGCTGAGCTCCACGCTGCAAGGCAGACCCTACCCTTGCTAGTACAGATAGGTCCCTTAGCTAGTCCACTTCCTTATTCCTCTGCCAGCTTTGCTTCCTGCTGCAGCTCCTCAAATGGCAATGGTTAGCTTAAAACCAAAGATTATCTCCTCTGACTTGCTCATCCATATGGTAGGAGTTTCTGGGGACATGGATAAAAATCACACTCGATGGGTTAAGATCCTCCCGGGTAGAGGAAGGCCTAATTTATGATCGTCCCTAATATAATTTAGGGAAAAGGCATCTGGATGTGGATCCAGTTTTTTTCCCTTTTCAGTCACAGCAGTCAACACAACCCCAAAGTTAACACAGTAAAAGAGGCAATTTGTGGCCTGGCTCTTCATCCATCTGTCTCTGTCCTGCTCTGAGGTTATCCGAGGATTATTTGCCCTTGTCTCAGACCAAGAAGTAGAGGCCAGAGCTGGAATTTGGGAGAGTAAAGATATTATTTTAAAGTTGAGCAGCCTGCCAAAGGCCTCCTGCAAATGAATAGCCAAGCCACAAATGGTGATGGGGGAGAACAATCTGAAGTTTTCTTTGCTTGTTTGTTTAAACAAAACAAAAACTTGATTCACCCCAGACAGAGTGTCACAGAGAATTGGGAAGACTGACTTGGTGTCTCACCATTCCACACCACTTTAATAAAGAGTTTTCAGAGCGCAAAAGCAGGCCTTCTTCATGTCTACTTCTGCTTTGACCTTATAGGGCAGGCCTGGACAGCCTGCGGGCTGCATCCAGCGTGCAGATGCTGAGGGGTGCCTCAGGCAGGCTCCATGCTTGCCTCACCCCACCCGCACGCCGCTCAGGAAAACGGCTGCTGGGCCATTTCTCTTTCAAAATTGTTTGAATAGCAGGCAGCACACAAAGCACCACACGCCCTTACCCCTCCCGGCTTCTAGTTATTCACACTCACACATGGCCTTGCAGCCTGTGCGGGATGGGGCCTGCCTGAGAAGTGTTCTGGGCTGCTAGCCAGGAGTCACCCAGGTAACTCTCCTGGCCAGAGCCTGCCTCTACCCATCACTCCTGCCCCCCTGCTCCAGATACTCGAATCCTCTTCCCCTTCCCGCACCCATGTCCCCTCTCAGATCCAGCACCCCAATCTCCTGCCCCAGCTCACAAAGCAAATTCCTGCACCCCAATCCCTTGCCCTGGGTCACAACCCCTTCCTGTCCTAGGTCACAACCTAAAACCCTGCACCCCAGTCCTGTGCCCCACATCACAACCACCTCCTTCACCCAAACTCCCTCCCAGGCCCCACTCTCCCTCCTGAATCAAATCTCTTACCCCAAGCTCCCTGCTGCACCCCGCACTTCCTCCATTAACATCATGGAAGAGTGCAGCCCTCGACCACTTTCCAAAACCTTGGAGTGACCCCTCCTCAAAAATTATTGCTCTCCCCTGTTGTAGGGGAATGATGAACATTTGCCTGAGTGGGCAGCTGAGGATTAGTCTTGCATCAGGGAATTCTCCATGGTCAGAGGCCCTGGCCTGAGCACTGCTGCCTTCTAGTGATTCTCCAGTTAAGGGAGGGGCCCCTCAGGGCCACGTGTAGGTAGGTGTAATTTAGAGCAGCCTCGAGGGTGCTCTGAGCGGAGCCAGGAATTGAATCAGCGATCTTTGCTCAGCTTCTTGGGTCCTGTACCAAGTCTCTTAGGATATAATCCATGAAGTTTTACATTTGGAAAAGCAGCCTGGAGTGGGGGGAGAGCCTCACTTTAATGCCTCAATAAAATGTTTGGGGGTGGGCTGAACATACACTCACACTAGATGTTCCAGAACATTATTTCTTAATTTCTAGATTGCCCGGTAGAGAGAACTCGTATTACTTTTGGGGGGAGAGGCACAAAGGTGCTGTTTTGTTTTGATACTCCATCCAGGTAGGGTTTCTCTCTTCCTTTGGAAGAGAAGAACTGAAAAGTTTCTTCTGCTAGTTTACAAGCTTCACACGCTTATTCTGCTGCGGTGCCTTCTGCATCGGAATTTCCCCTGGGGACATGTCCCACCCACAGTACGTTAGTAACAACCAGTTGTCTGGGGGAGTTGCTAGAAGTCGGGTGAGAGAAATACAAAGACTGATCGTGTATGCAAGCTGGAGGATTCAGAGCAGCTAACACGACTTGGCCCAGTGGCTAAGCCCCAAATCCTACAGGTGCAAATGTAACCGTGGCCTGATAGGTCAAGAGGAACTGGCCATCACAGAAAGTGTGTGTAGGGGATTAGGATCACCAAAGGGAATGTAGAAGAACTGTTAAAGGGAGTGTACTCATATTTAGTTTATCATCATATACAGCCAAAATTTTCAGTCCCATTGCTCTAAAAATTCTCTGACCTCTCAGGCAAGTCCACAGTTACCTAGGGAGTTGGTTCCCAGCCTGGGCCCAACTGTCCTCAAACTCAGTTCCTTACCTTTCCCCCAAGGGTAACAATTTCTCCTCTAGCCTCTCTTTGAGTTGTTTTCCTCCCACATTGACACTTCTATGTCCTTAGATGTTACCTCTCCTCCTCTCAGCACTGGAATGAGCTTATATAGACCCCCCCCCCAGGCTCCACCCACTCCCAGCAGCCTCTGAGTGGAGTGGATAATTGGAGTCTGCTGCTTTTCCCCTCCCACTCCATGTCACAGTCCACACTGCCACGGTGTGTTTATGCAACTATAGATCCAGTCACGGAGGAGCCATGGCTTAGTGTTTAGAATGGGAGTTTGGCTGGATTAGGAAACCTGGGTTTCATTTTTTTTTTTATTTCCACGAGTCATTGTGTGACCGTGGGCTAGTCACTTTAGTTTCTCCCTCTGTAAAATGGAACTAATACTTGCCCGTTTACACTAAGATAGAGAGAGAGGGGGTATCTACAGCCCACACTGAAGATCATGTTATCTTGAAAAAAGTATGTAGATTAGCAGCAGACCTGCCACAATGAAACTTGGGATGTGTGTAGATAATGTGCACCTAACGTCATGTGATTTTTATCCATGTTTGACCACAGCAGTGCCTCTGGAAGCATGTATGTGAACATGAGAGCATCCTGCTGAGCATCAATCTCTTCTAGTGCCATTAATGATCTAAGATCATGTTATCTTGAAAAAAGTATGTAGATTAGCAGCAGACCTGCCACAATGAAACTTGGGATGTGTGTAGATAATGTGCACCTAACGTCATGTGATTTTTATCCATGTTTGACCACAGCAGTGCCTCTGGAAGCATGTATGTGAACATGAGAGCATCCTGCTGAGCATCAATCTCTTCTAGTGCCATTAATGATCTGCGGTTTTTTTTGGGGGTGGCGGGGGGGGGGGGGGAGAAAGGCTGCATGTTTATATCAGAGATGGGTGAACAGCTCTGAGAGAAGAATCGGACCATTTCCCTCAACACAGGACTTTTGTCATTCTCTAGGCTGGCACTGGTCTGTCTCTGGAGGTTCTGGTGTAAGCAGTTCCATTTTTTGGTTAATAATTTCTCATGTCCAAGACAGTATTGGCAGCTCTAAGTTCTTACCCCGATCAGAACAAATACCAAGAATAAAACCTGTTCTCGTGGCCTTTCTAGCTGCCCCAAAGGCAAAGAGGGTTCAGGTGACTCCAAAGCTTTTGAAGAACAACATCTGTGACTAGAGGTTTCTAGGACTAAAACCGTGGTGTCCAACCAGTTCTGAAGCAGTAGCCACTATAGCAAACTAGCCACATTATTCAAGCCAACTAGCCACACTCAGTTGGCAAATAGCCACATGTGGCTAGCATGTTGGATGCCACAGACCTAAAGGCTTAAAATATGATCCCAAAAGCAGCATAAGACTCCTGCTCTTTTTGAACGTGACCCTTCCAGACTGGCCAATCAAAAAGAGGCGGTGACTTGTGACCCACTTCCTGTGCAAAACCAGTTTCTTCCATTGTATTAACAGGTGGCAGTGTGCAAAGTTTGCAGTGCAATGGTCTTGTTTCTAGCTTGGGGTGGGTAGGGCTGAGCTGGGAGCCTCTGTTCCTCTATGGGCTTAATGCGGGTCATTGTAGCTTCAATTAGAGGTTGAGCCTGATGAGAAAAACAGCTGCTGCTTCCTGAGAGATAACTGAGTTACTCCTAATGCGAATATAGCAAAGGGCTACAGTTTTGGGGCTGAAAGTCTTGGACTCAGTCCCCCACTTTGGCCTCTGCACTGATGTGGCTACATGTACATCACCAGGCCCATATAGGTGAGGCCCTAATTCCAACTGACTCCCATACCTATGTTTAAAATCAGTATAACTGCATTGACTTCAGTGCAGTCACCACTAGAGGTGGGGCAGAACCCCAATGTTCTCCCCCTGCCCCTTCCTGAAGTTTGGGGTAGTTCAAACTCCAGGTCTGAATGTGGCTGCTTAGGTCTCTCCTAGCCAGAAAGAGATTTTAAAAATTCCTTTAAAATGCTGCCCCGTTTCTGTGCTGTTTCTCCTTCTTTTGGCATCTGTACAGTTCTTTTACCCTCTCATTTTTGCTTCCCACCCTGAGCAGTCATGGCCAAATTGCCAGCTGAGCTCCCTGCCTCTGTGCCTATCCAAGAGACGCAGAAAATACCAGGTATTTAAATCTAGGCTGACTTCCCCCCCCCCTTACTTCCCCATTTGTGCTTTCATGTACTGGCGGACAGCCGTCAGGAGAGTAACGTGGACTGTAGACTAGAAGAGCAGATTAGATTTGGTTTTGATCTTTAAATGGCATAGCTCCACCAGATGACTGCTCCTTTTAGCTGCTTGTAGTGTTCTTTGTGGTCAAGGTGTAGCTGTGGTCATGTGTTAGTCTGAACCTCTTCTGTATTTCATGTTGCCAAGGAGCAAATCCAAGGCGGGAGGGGGAATAGAATGCATTTTAAAACATAGGGCCATAGACTAAAGTCAGCCAAGGGATCCCAAAAAGGAGAACATAAGAATATAAGAGCAGCCTTACTGGATCAGACGAATGGTCCATCCAGCCCAGTATCCTATCTGCCAATAGTGACCAATGCCAGATGCCCCAGAGGAAGGGAACACAACAGGTAATCCTCATGTGATCCTTCTCCTGTCACACACAGCCAAACAGGCCAGGGAAACCATTCCTACCCATCCTGGCTAATAGCCGTTGATGGACCTGACATCCATGAATTTATCTACCTCTTTTTTGAACCCTGTTAATGTTCTAGCCTTCACCACATCCTCTGGCGAGGAGTTCCACAGGTTGTGCGCTGAGTAAAGAAAAACTTCCATTTGTTTGTTTTAAACCTGCTGCCTATTAAATTCATTTGGTGACCCCTAGTTCTTATATTGCGGGAATAAGTAAATAACTTTTCCTTATTCACTTTTGCCACACCACTCGTGATTTTATAGACCTCTATCATATCCTCCCTTAGTCTCCTCTTTTCCAAGCTGAAAAGTCCAAGTCTTTTTAATCTCTCTTCATATGGGACTCCTTACACCTTAGTCATTTTTGTTACTATTTTCTGAACCTTTTCCAATACCAATATATATTTTTTGAGATGAGGTGACCACATCTGTACGCAGTATTCACAATGTGAGTGTACCACGGCAATAAGATATTTTCTGTCTCATTCTCTATCCCTTTTTTAATGATTCCTAACATTCTATTTGCTTTTTTGATTGCTGCTGCACACTGAGAGAATATTTTCAGAGAACTATCCACAGTGACTCCAAGATCTCTCTCTTGAGGAGTTGTAGCTAAATTAGTCCCCATCATATTGTGTATATATATAGTTGGGATTACTTTTTCCAATGTACATTACTTTACATTTATTAATATTAAATGTAATTTGCCATTTTGTTGCCCAATCACGTAGTTTGGCGAGATCTTTTTGAAGCTCTTCACAGTCTGCTTTGGTCTTAACTATCTTGAGCAGTTTGATGTGCTCTGCAAATTTTGCCACCTCACTGTTTACCCCTTTCTCTAGTTCATTTATAAATACATTGAATAGGATTGGTTCCAGGACAGACCCTTTGTTTCCTGTCTTTTAACCAGTTATCAATCCATGAAAAGACCTTTCCTCTTATCCCATGACAACTTGCTTTACTTAAGAGCCTTTGGGAGAGTCAGCTAAAGGAAATTGGGGAGTCATCTAGAAATGAAATAATTAATCAAGTGCTTTCTTAATTTGTTCATTTCCCATTTCCTCTTAGATATTTGTCATATTCTGTCAGATTTTGTGCTTTCCATTGTCAGGGAGGGACATTCTTTCCCCAAATTTGGGTTGATTAAAAAAAATCCCATCTTTCTTTTTGGTTCATGGGCCAACCGCCTCCAGGGTATCAGTTCAGCTGTGGGAAAAGCAGTTAGTAAGTGAACTGTTCTGACAGAGCCGACAGAAGAAGCACAGAAGTGGAGTGCAAAACATCAATTTTGTATAGGGCCTACATAAACATTAGCTACTCCACTTGTGTGTCTGTTTATTTTCTGTCAGCTTCATAATGTTTGAACCATTTCAGCTTTTTCTCAACATGAGGCTCGTGTGCATTTAATAAATGCCTCCCACAACTAGGAAAGTGAAAGAAACATCCAATTTACTGGAACCCTCTTTCCCCTGAAATATAAAACCATCTGTGAATGTCACAGAGCTACAGGGGAAAAATTCTTGGGATAAAGAGCATTAATAATTCTCCTGACTCTGTAAAGATGAACAAGTTGAGGTATGTGTGAATGACTAAAAAGCAAAATGCCTCTAGGGCTGTTTTTTATTGTGACTCTAATTAAACCCTTGCCAATTAGTGACAGGCTTTTTCATATTCTCTTCAACGCTGTATTATTATCAATTGGCTTCCATTTTCCCATTGAAAAGGACACTATCACCTACTTTTAGAGCTTGTCATATATTGTTTTACTCAGCATTGTTTTAATCCCCAATAGAAGGTGGGAAATCACATTTCTCTCCTTCTTGAGTTTGTTCTTTTAGTTTTTGCCAGAAAGAAGGGATTTCCCCCCCCCCCCTCCTCTCCTTATAGTTCTTAACTGAAGCTTGAAATTAACAACATGGGTTTTTCATTTTACTTCATGGTTTGTACACGAGCAAAATTGTGGCAATAGGATTTGCTCCAGGCCCAGTGACGAGGGCACACAGAGTTTTTTCAATAGGAACCGTACAAGTGGGCAGCCATCTTCGTTGTTTTGATTTCTTTGCAAGGGCTTCTTGAGTTCCTTTGGTGGGTTTTTTTTTTTTTTTAGGAAAAAAGATGTGGCCTGAGCACAGGCCTGGGAACTAGGAACTCCTGGATTGTAATCCTCTTTGGACACCTACTTCAGGGGTGCTGGAGGTACAGCAGCACGCCCTGGCTTGAAGCAGTAATTATTTCCTACAATGGTGTCTGATTTCAGCCCCCACACTAGAAACTTAGTTCTAGCACCTCTGCCAACTCCCTGTCATTTTTGCTGACAGTTACTTAGAGTCCAAAAATATCAAACACGAGTGGGTAAAATTAGACACCTACATGGCTATCCAGGTACGTATACAACTGGCCTCAATTTCAGAGGGGCTGAGCAGCTATGGGTCCCAGTGACTGTGTGTGGCGATCCTTCTCTGCACTTGCAGCCCTTGACTCTGCAGTCAGTCAACATCCAATGGCACCTCCAGTGGCCAAGGCCACAGAAATGAAAGAATGCCTGCCGTGGTACACGTCTAACGTGGGCAGAGTCTGAAACATTGCCAGCTGCACAGCTGTGTGGGTGCAAGAATAAGTCAGCATTACTCCATTGCAGTCAATGGGGCTCTGCCCATCTGGCCTGTCTGACCCAAGGCTGCTAGCTTAACTCTTCCATTTCAACCCCTTTTGTAATGAGACTTTCCTATATTACCGCTGCAAGAACTCACCAGCTCGTCGGCAGCTGCCCCACTACAGGTGGGCTACCCCCAAGCCAAGGCCGATCCTGGAAAAGAAGGTAGGAGACATGCTGCTGAATGGGCATAACTGGCTAGTACAGTCCAAATAGGGACTGAGCCTTAGAAATTGCTTAGAATTGCCACTCTGCTTTCCATGCATCTCTCTTTTACCCCGATGGGAAAAGCTCTGGCTTTCTCTGTGCCCTACACACAACTGGCAATGAGGCGAGGCTAGACTGAGCCTCAAGTTTTAGTCACCTACGTGAAAGATGACAAATGGTAGAAGAGATTATCCTCGGCTTGGTGCTCAGGGGAACTAGAAGGATCATGGAAATCTAGTTGATTCCTGAGTGTTTGTAAAATGTAGTAACTTTTGTAAACTGTCACGTATGTGTTGCTTAAAGCATAGACCCTGTGTTGCTATTTGCCCTGTGGTTGTGTAGCCAAGGAGCTTTATACGTGACACGAGGGAACCTCTGGAGGTGGCATGGTGAGCCATGAAGCCTGAGGTTCAGCTTAGCTTGTCTAGCATCCCTCCTCCCTGGTTCATGCTGGCAGCAGATTGTCAGGATCCTCCCCCATTTCCCCGTCAATTTGCCCTTAGCAAGTTCCTGCCGTGTAAATGAGCATCCCTTTGAATATAGAATCTAATGTGTATTAGAGCTGGGCTCCCACTCAAACCCAGGAGCTGGAAACTTGGGGAGGTGGTAATGGAAGGCCAGAATTTATACTGAGATCAGGAGTTGTTGGTCCCTATCTCCATAACAGTGCCAAGTCGAAAATCAGAAGTTCAACGCTGCCCCGACTTGGGGGCATTTGAAATCTTTTTGGCTTGGGCCCACCTTTAAGCTACATGTAGATAGGATACAGTCTGTGCAGAGATGGATACATATCATCCACCTCTGTGCTAGACTGTGCTAATAGAAAGTGAGCCAGATTGGTAGGAGGCACTTAAACAAAATACAAAGTCCTTACAGAAAATAACCATCTTGCATTCTGTCAATGAAAAGAACCTGGTGCTTTCTTCTCTGGCTGGAGTTAAAAGTGTCTAAAGACCAACTTAATTTTTTATCCTTTTGATTGTTGCCAAGTTGAGCTAATAGGCATCGGTTCTGTTTAAGGAAGGAGTTCTGTTCCAGCCACAACTTTCCTTTCCATCCCTGAGGAAGGGTAATTTTACTGCTTCTAACTGTTGTTTGAGGCAGTGCTAATTTCCATGGAGCACTGATGGTTTTTAGAAATTGGGATGCGTGGGGGAGAGGACAGAGAAATTGGATACTGCTCCACCATCCCAGTCAACATATCTGACTGAAGCTCCCTCACCAGCCTTGGTGAGGAACAAATACAGTGACTACTGATGATCTCTCTCTTGGTGCCATTTCAAGCTGTTCGGCGTCTGGTAAACCCAACCGTGCTTGGACCCAAACCGGTTCCACGGGAGCCTCCTGAAAACATCCGAGGTAAGGACGTGCTCTTAGAGCCTGTGTCAGCAGGAGGTGAGGAGAGAGCAAGGGGGGTTTTTTTCAAGTGTCAATAAAATGCAGAAGCCTGGCAGTCATTAGACGCTGGACTCGAGGCATGGGTCACATCCAATACTGCCTGTATTGCCCTCGGGATGTCACATAGGCTGCAGCTGTGTGATGACTGGGCAGAACCACTGTGCTAGGTGCAACTGATGTAAGTGGCTAATTCCCAGGCAGATCATAAGAGATTGGGGCTGAATCAGCCCCTAAAGGTTATGAACTCTCTTCTCCCTATAACCCTGGAGTTCTTGCTTCATATGCTTCTATGAACAACAACTGGAGACAGACTGAGTTGGGAAGAAGGTGGATGGTCTTTAGGAGTTATGAGATCTAGATGCCAATGGCTTAGTGTGACCTTTTCAGGTGACTTCTCTCTTCCATGCCTTCAGTTTCCCACCTGTAAAAGGTGGGGGAGGGAATGCAGCATATCTTGCAGCATGCCTGTGCTTATAAATCCACTCGTGCTTGTCAATCCCTTGGAGCTCCTTGGGTGGAAGCTGCCAGAAGCAGGAAAGCCCGGTATTTTTCATTGAGAAGAAAGCGGGTGACCTTTAAACAAGCTTATTGAGAATCAGCTGGGGGAGGAAAGATTGGGAGAAGGTGCTTTTCCAGGTCTACCCAATGATTGCCAAGAATATACTGGAAATGGTTCTCTTAACTGGCTACATGCCCTACTGGACCAGAGCTTTACCTTCCTAGCTAGGAGCTGTGACTCCATACCCCAGTTAACTGAAAAGACACCAGCCAAGGGTTCTGTATTTAGAAAAGATTTCACCTGCTGCAGCTGAGAATGCCACACGCCCCTCCCCCAGCCAATCAAATGGCTGGTTTAATTAGGCTAATCGGCCACCCTGGACTGACATAGTTAAGCCTAATTAGCTGATCCCTTGATGCTTAAACCACCTCCTCCCAGACAGGTTTTTTTTTCCCTTTGGGATCTTAATCCCGTTGGAGACACCCAAAGCTTCCTCACCCACAGGCACCTACTAAAAGCCAGTTTTGCACAGCTGCAGTTTTTTGGTCCTCAGTGCCCCTGATTTTTTTCAATGGCTTGTACCTCTCATCAGCCTCTAAGGCTGTGTCACGTGAGTGTGAAAAACACTGCTGTGCACTCACCCCTGTACTAGCCTTCCGCACCCCCTGTGCCCAGGTATAAATAACATGACCCAGCAGAGACGTGATTGCCCCACCTGAGTTATGGACACCACCTAGCCCCTAATGCATGGCTGAGCGCACTTGCATGCTGCGCTGCAGGTGTGGGTGCCAGGACATTAGCATCGGATTTGGAGATTCCTAGTATGACGCCCCCCCAAGTAGTAAGAAGGAAGAGGGGGTTCCCATTCTCCATCCTACTTCCTCTCCCATAAGTTGCTCAAGCGTCCATTTACTTTTACTTATTCTTTTCCCTCTTTTAGAGGAGCAGGCTGCACCTAGGTTCTCTCATACCATTTCTCTCAGTCCCTTACCCTGGGGCATCAGGGTCCAGCTCCTGTTATTTGCCCCATTACCTCTGCAGCCTGCACAGGATCCCGTCAAGCTCAGGACAGTCCTGTCAGATGCTACCCATATCCTCCAGCAAATGCCACAACCATTGCTTTTGCTGATCCGGAATGCCACTGAGTTGGGGGTTTCACTGCTGTGAGGCCTGGCACCAAAGCGTGGCAGGTGTTCGGGGGGAGGGGGCGGGCTGCGTTCTGCTGGCTGTGCAGCATTACATGCCGCCCTTCATCCTGTGCCAGCCCCTTGGCCTGGTGAGACGCAACAGTGGGAGAAAAGGCATGACAGACGCACTGAGCTGAACTGCTCTGATCACAGCTGATCAAAAAGAATACACAAACAGGCCCGGTCTCTGTCACCATGGAAACGTCGGCCTAGAGAGGCCTCTGCCCCCCCCAGGCTAAAGCCACCTGGCTAGGGGGTAGCAAACAGCCCACCTGTTCAAGGGCCATCAGCGGCCTTGCCTGCTGGGTTCGTTTTCCACTGATGGGGCTGCTGTGGCAACTAGTCAGGAGGGCAACGCAGACATTCAGCAAGTGGTGCCAAGTAGCCAAACTTGGGCCTGCAAACGCCAGTGACTGTCTATGGCTTAATTCAAGTAATGGGCCAACACGGACCCCGGAAAGCACTGGGGCACACAGGCTGCCCGAGACCGCCCGCGTGGCCCAGCCTTTCGCCTGTGTGGCTGGCCCCTGCCACTGGCAGCAAGACCAGGGCTTTGCCCTGCCACGTTCTACCTGAGGCAGGACAGGCGCTTTGCAAAGGCACGGGTGGCAGTTGCTGCAGCTGGGGAAAAATGAGGCAGGGGCCACTGAAGTGACTGGCCAGAGTCTTACACAATGAATGTGCCAGAGCAGGGGAAGGAACCGGGGGGCAGGGAGCTGCCTCCTCTGGTCATAGCCACTGGCACCAGTACAGGAGTGGGACAGACAGACTGACTCTTTCTCTCCAGTTGTTCCCTGCCACGAAGGCATTGTTGTTATCACGTGTATTGTAGAACTGCCGTGGTCTCCCAGGCAGGACAGAGGCCCTATTGTGCTTGGCAGCATACAGCCAGGCAGACTGGGGCAGAAGCCCCTGCATGGGGTTGGCTTTGACCCAAGCAGTTGTGGGAATCCGTTTTTGTCCACGCGAGGCCTCGTGGGCTGGCCACGCATGCCTGGTGGTCCCTGCCCGATACCTCTGTGGCTGGCGGCCTGATCCAGCAGCTTGCCCTGCCTGTAGCCCCACTCTGCTGGGAGCTGTGCAGCTCACCTGCCTGTTGGGAGAGAGCAGCTGAAAGGAGCTGAGCAGCTGCAGTGATGCTGTGCTGTTAGGACCAGGCCATCAGTGGGGTCACTGCTGTTCTAGCACAACGCAGTGAAACCCAGACCTCCATCTGCTTCTGGAGCAGCCCAGCTGCCATGAGCCACAGCTTTTCTCAGGGGCAGTGGAAATCAAGGGATACTCTGTGAGCCTTCCAGCAGACGGCTGCTGGGATGGAGTAGGCGTGTTAGCCAGCCAGCGTCTGAGGGCTTACAACATAGCGCCCGCTGGCCTTGCTTGGCTGGCTAGACCCCGCGCATCTGCCACTAGGCAGTCGCTCACCTGAGAGCCCTGTGAGGAGGGAGACTGACGGGGCATAAGCACAGCGATGGGTGGGATGCGTGAATGAGGATTTGTTGATCAGTGCAAGGTATTGGCATCTGTCCTAAAACCTGTTCCCAGTGCCACACCTGATGCAGGATATGATTGTGGGTTAGGCACTTACCTGCCCTGTGCCTCAGTTTGCCCAGTGTGAAAGAGCGCTCACCCCACCACCACAGGCTTTTGGGAGGCTTTGCTAATAATAGCGACAAAATCTTGACACTCCTCAGATGAAAGCCAGCGGTGAAACCACTTCCCACAGGAAAACGAGAGCGATGGAACATGTGAGGCAGGGGCTTTTTTAGCTGGAGAGCAGCTTGTCGTTCGAGCAGGGTTAGGCTATTCACTGTAAAATGAAAGAGCCTTGACTAATCTCCTTACCCGTGAAACAAGTGGGTTTTTTTAAAAGGTCTATTTCAAAGCCATATTTGAAAGTGTACCTCGCAGGGACTCCAGCTCTCGCTGGCTACTTGAGTGAGCTTCCTGAACAAACATTAAGAGTTAAATTCATCCCTCTGCACAAGGCTCTGAATTTAGCTGGCACTTTTGCCTTGGGGTGAGCTTCCACCTTGGCAAACATGAGCTGGGCAACCATTCCCCTTGCAGCCTAGCTATTCATGGCTTTCCTGCCCCATAGGCCTTCTTATGCTGAGCTAAAAGGTGCTTGCTAGTCATGGCTTTCCTGCCCCGCAGGCCTTCTTATGCTGAGCTAAAAGGTGCTTTGCCTGGCATAAGAAGGCCTATGGAGCAGGTAAGCCATGAGTACCTATGCTAGCTCTGTCCAAATACAGGGACAGCCCTCAGCCAACGGCAGCTCAGCATGGTAGGCTCCTAGGATGGTTTCAGTGGGGGGGCAGCACATGGATCAAGTGTGTATGTGGGCAGAGGGCTACATTAGTTTATTAGAACAGGTGACTGAGCCTTAGGATTCCCACTTTGTTTCTTGCTCTTCCACCCACACACTTCAGCACACCACTGCACCTGTGACTCAGTTTCCCCCCCTGTAAAGTGAGGGGGGGGAGTACCTGACACTTTCTGACAGCCTGGGGGGGTGTTATGAAGAATAATGTTTGGAAAGGAAATAGGAAGAGCACGCAGGCCCTTGAACTAACATAGCCGTGTCAAGCTTTCGTACCTGAGTCGTCATCACAGCTCTGCACCCCAGGCAGCAACCCTGGTTGGCAGCCTCCTCTTCTCCTCCAGGCTAGGGTTTCAAAAGGACAAAGCCCCCTAGGCACTGAAACCCATTAGCCCTTATTTGAAATATAGGCCACTCATGTAATGACACTGAGCTATTGCTGTAAGGTGCATGTTAGCTTCTCTGTTGGGCTAGCTGAGTAAGTCCCCCTCTTGGGCGGGGCAGCCTGATGAATTTCCCAGACAGCCATGCTCTGCTGGCGTTGGGAATTCTCTCTCATCCAAAGCATTAAGCTGTTTTTTGTTTTGTTTTGGTTTTTTTTACTCTCACACGCAGCTGCTCCAAAGAGCAAATCAGGACGCACAGCACACTCTGCTGGCAAGAAGCATGCAAAGAAGCCAGGTACTGCCTATTGTCCTGTGTGAGACAGCTGGGCGGGAGGGGGTGGGTAGCTGTGGGCTAGGTTAGGAGAGCCCTGCTAGGTTCTAACCCTTTGAGCAGTGGCTAGTTCAAGTGTAATTGAGCAAGATCATATGGCCTGGCTAATACTTAGTCCTTCCTTGAACAAAAAGCCTTCTTGAGGTTCCCTTCCAGCCCAACATGTCTACTGCCAGCACCTTTTCGTACGCCAGTTGGTGTGAGCAACATCAGTGGGTTTCAAACTACGGCTCGCAACCCAGGACCGGGTGGTGGAATGTCAGGCGCTGTCTCCTTGTTGCTGGGGGATCAGGTGAGCAGTGGGGTGCTAAGGCAGCTACCTGACCATCCTGGCACTGCAGCCTGCACTGCGCCCCAGGAGCAGCCTGCAGCAGGCCTGGCTCCTAGTTGGGGGGAAGGGAGAAAGCACACAGGGCTCCATGTACCGCCCCTGCCCTGAGCACTAGCTCCACATTCGCATTGCCTGGTAACCTGCTGCCGGCTGCTTGTGGGGGGGAGCAGGGGTTCTGCCTTAGCACCCCCACTGCACTGCTGACCGGGAGCTGTTCAAGGTAAGCCCCTTCTACCACAGCTCTGACCTCCCTGCCCCCAAAAAAACCACCCCAAAGCTCTCCTCAATTCCACCCCGGAGTCCACACTCAGGTCAAATTATGTTGGGTCACAAGAATCCACAATTTTCTCCAACAAGTCATGAGGGAAAAAGTTTGAAAACTGTCTACACTAAACTGAGTCCAAAGGAAACAGCTTATTTTTAAAATTGTTAGACTTGTCTAGCGTTAGCCTGGCTGACCAGGTTTATTTCTCTACACACACAGAAAGTGGTGGGCCAGCTGCATGACCAATAACTCTGCTTTTCTCTGAACCCGATGCTCTAGTGCACATTTGTGTGTGGAATTTCTTATACATCAAACATTGGGGGGCGGGGAGGAGGAGAAATGTAGAAAGGCACCAGCTGTCTGATGCAGAAATAGATATCAGCGATGCCAACGTGATGTTCTTGGCCGACTCCATTTATTCTAGCACGAGAGCTGCTCTCCCACAGTGTAGGAAGGGAATGTGTGTGAAGTAATGAGAAAATGCTTGTTTTTAATTTTTCCAAGCGGCTTCAAAGAGCTCCAAACTCATCAGGCTGAATGCTGGCTCTGGCCCAGTGGCACCTGTTGAAGTGTTTAGAGGTAAGAGGGAGAAATGGCGATGGTGGGCAAACAAACAGATGCTTCAAGCTTCGGAAGGACCTGTCTAACCCTGTGATCAAGATTTTTCTCGCCTTTAAAAAACACCATCCAAAAACACCACCCACCAGGGTCAGGGATGTGTCAGACACCGACCAGACTAGGAGTTACACTTGTCTGACTGCATCTGCTAGTTATCATTGCAAGAACGAATCCTTATGATAAACTAACCTCCGCGTAACTACAACAGTCAGCAATACCCAAACAGCCGCTTCCTTGAACAGTGAGGAGCAGGCAAAATGCATTTCGTTGAGGTTCCTTGTTTACATTTCAGTCACGATTCATCTCTAAGCCACTATGAACGATGGGAAAAAACCCTGCCTGGCTCCATGGCACCAGATCTTTATTTCATAGAAACAAATCTCATACCCCCATTCCCATCAGCACCCCCCTCCATGCGCATGTCAGCTTGTGTCACTTGCATGCTGTCTCCCTGCCATCCTGTGTGTTCTCTTACCAGTAGAGATGGGCTTGAAGCAAATCTCCAGCTTCCCCCAATTAGTCTGAGAAAGGGCAGATCTGGCCTGTCCTTGGGGTTGTTTCTACTGTATCTCATGCCCCTCCTAGCCTGTTTGCTCTACTGCTGGTGAGGAGGGAGTCGTGAACTCCGCCTGTAACAACCAAACACTGTGGTTGGGAAAAACATAAAAAAACAATGAAAAGTCTAGTAGCACTTTAAAGACTAACAAAACATGTTGTAGATGGTATCATGAGCTTCCGTGGGCACAGGCCACTTCTTCAGATGACTGGAGTATTAGAAGTCCAGATCCAAAGATAAATAAGGGAAAAAGGGGGGAAGGAAGGAGGCAAAAAAGAAAAAAGACAGGGAGTAGATTGTTCAAATAGTTACAAGAGGCTGATAAGAACAATTGGCACCTCCATTGCTTGGTTGGTTAAGTCATTAGGATGTAGCCAGTAGGGTGGCTCTGTTCATTCCATTCTGATAAGAATTAAACATGTAAATGAAGTTGTTACAACCCTTCCTTTTGTCTTTGGCTTCAAAGTAGGAATAAGAGATCCTCCGGAAAAGGGCTTTATTCCGGAGGATCGCACCAGTCTAGACGCTTTTTTCCGGCTTTTCCCCAAGCTGGAAAAAAAGCGGCGGCCATGTTTATTTAAATCCCGCAGGGGATATTTAAATCCCCCGCGGATTTCCCTATTCTGAAGTTGGAAATTAATATGCCTCTTCCGGAGAAGGGGGCCAATGTAGACATAGCCCTACTGTAGTCATCTGAATCATAGAATCATAGGACTGGAAGGGACCTCAAGAGGTCATCGAGTCCAGCCCCCCGCCCTCAAGGCAGGACCAAGCTCCGTCTACACCATCCCTGACAGATGTCTATCTAACCTGTTCTTAAATATCTCCAGAGAGGGAGATTCCACCACCTCCCTTGGCAATTTATTCCAATATTTGACCACCCTGACAGTTAGGAATTTTTTCCTAATGTCCAATCTAAACCTCCCCTGCTGCACTTTAAGCCCATTACTCCTTGTCCTGTCCTCAGAAACCAAGAGAAACAAATTTTCTCCTTCCTCCTTGTGACACCCTTTTAGATATTTGAAAACCACTATCATGTCCCCCCTTAATCTTCGTTTTTCCAAACTAAACAAGCCCAGTTCATGAAGCCTGGCTTCATAGGCTTCTCTAGACCTTTAATCATTCTTGTCGCTCTTCTCTGTACCCTTTCCAATTTCTCCACATCTTTCTTGAAATGTGGCGCCCAGAACTGGACACAGTACTCCAGCTGAGGCCTAACTAGCGCAGAGTAGAGCGGCAGAATGACTTCACGAGTTTTGCTTACAACACACCTGTTAATACAACCTAGAATCATATTTGCTTTTTTGGCAACAGCATCACACTGTTGACTCATATTCAACTTGTGGTCCACTATGACCCCTAGATCCCTTTCCGCCATGCTCCTTCCTAGACAGTCGCTTCCCATCTTGTATGTATGGAACTGATTGTTCCTTCCTAAGTGGAGCACTCTGCATTTCTCCTTATTAAACCTCATCCTGTTTACCTCTGACCATTTCTCTAACTTGCTAAGGTCATTTTGAATTATGTCCCTATCCTCCAAAGAAGTTGCAACCCCACCCAGTTTGGTATCATCCGCAAACTTAATAAGCGTACTCTCTATCCCAATATCTACATCATTGATGAAGATATTGAACAGTACGGGTCCCAAAACAGACCCTTGAGGAACTCCACTTGTTATCCCTTTCCAGCAGGATTTAGAACCGTTAACAACAACTCTCTGACTACGGTTATCCAGCCAATTATGCACCCACCTTATCGTGGCCCTATCTAAGTTATATTTGCCTAGTTTATCAATAAGAATATCATGCGAGCGAGACACGCACTGACCCATTTCTTGTGCTAGTCCCCCACCCCAGCCAAATGTCCCCCATAGCCACAACGCTGACAGTGCAACGAGACAGACATTTCTAGCCATCTCATCCCCTTCTGTGTCTAATGGAGATAAAGAAAAAAATTCCCTCGTCTCCATTATAAAAATTCTGCTCCCAGAAACAAAGCTGCTGGGTTATGATGGAGCAGGATGTGTCCCTGCTTACCCAAGGCTTAGGGTCAAGGCTTTATAAACAACTTTTTCTGGCAGTGAAAGCAGGATAGTTACTCTCAAACCCTGCTCACCACCACGCCAGTACAGAGCAGGAACCAACCCAGCTAGCAGTCTCCACATTTTGGGGGGAGAGGTTAGTGCATTGGGGTGAAAGAAAACCCCTCAGATTCAGGTTGCTGCCCGTTCTGTCCCAGGGCCCTGCACATGGCTGCCTTTTCCAGGGAAGGCCTGCCAGGGACGTCTCTCTCTTCTCTTCCAAACAGACTGCGAGTGCTACGGCCACTCCAACCGCTGCAGCTATATCGACTTCCTGAACGTGGTGACCTGCGTCAGCTGCAAACACAACACGCGGGGGCAGCACTGCCAGCACTGCCGGCTGGGGTTTTACCGGAACAGCTCGGCAGAGCTCGACGACGAGAATGTGTGCATAGGTGGGCAGCTGGGGACCCCGCTCGTGGTGGGCACTGCTCGCCAGGGAGTTCCACTGCGCTGCTGCTTCAGAGCTGGCTGAAAGTACTTACCAGCCACTGGGTGGTTTGGTGGCCTGTGAGACCAGGGCCCAGTGCCTCACCAGTTTCAGGGCCACAACTGCTGCAGAGAGAGGGTTGTGTGTGTGTGTGTGTCAGACAAAATAATTCCCCCCACCCCAGCAATGCATCTTCTCCAGCTCGGTTAAGGTGCATTGATAGCCCAGGTTAGGGGAAGCTTGCACTACCGTTGAAAAGAAGCCAAGATTTGAACTAGCAAACTCAGTCTGACTAGTACACTGCCTTGACCTCCTGTCGCCAGCCTAGCCGCCAGCCCTCCTGGCCCTGGCTGTAATGGAGGCACTTGTTGAAGCTTTGCTGTACTTTCCCCCAGCCCTGTCCTGAGCATGAGCGCTGGGCTGTTCACCCACCAGGCACTAATTCACTCAGCGCTGAGGACAAACTCTGCTCGCCGTCTCTTGCCCAGCCCGCTGGGCAAAGTCTGACCTGTTTGATCCAGGGCACATGGACTCCCTGCTGCCCGGGCCACCACCTTGCCATAAGCTCCAATTACAAAGTTTCTCCGATGAGTTTTACACCAGCTCCCACCTGGGAGGCCCTGTCACACCTTGGAGGACTGATGTGAAGCAGCTGGTTGGCACTAGGCTTTCTCCATTCCTGGTCTGTCGTTTTCTTCCTTTTGGTCCTGGGAGAGCAGGCAAAGTCTGCCCCCTGCTACCCTAAGGTCGCCCCATTAACATCGGTGTCATAATTGCAGCCAGAATCCAGCCCTCACACTCTTGCCTCTCCCCCTTGGAGGAGAAACAAGTTGAGCAGCAGCAGCCTCATACAGCAACTCTACAGGGCTAGGGCTACATCTGCTCCCTCCACTGCCCCATCAATGCCCCCACCCGTCCCCTCCTGCCGGCTTCCGCTGGAGAGCAAAGGGGCAGCTGGAGACAGAGGCTCATGGAACTCTGGGTCCCCTTGGCCTTCAGTCAAGGCTGGGCTGCCAAAGTGGAACAGCTCATCGAAGGCTGTAGCCCAAGGAGGGTGGAACAAGCGGAGGGAGGCAGGTGGCATCTCTCATAAGCCCTTGTACAGTGCCTGGTGTAATAAGGGGTACAGCTAGACTAGGTTTTATTTTCGAAAGGAGATATGCAAATTTGACACTAATTTGCATATCTTCATCCGATTTTCTTTTTAAGTGAAAGTAGTCTGGACATGGGTTTTTTGGGGGGGGGAAAAAACCCTTTTTCGAAAAACCGTGTAAACCTCCTTTTTAAAGGAAGAGCATTTTCCCCCCCTGAAAAAACTGCATCCAGACGCCTTTCACTTTCGACAAAGCAATCGGAAGAAGATATGCAAATTCGTACCAAATTCGCATAGCTCCGTTCAAAAATAAAACCTAGTCTAGACGAACCCACGGTCACTGGAGCTACTAGGCTCTCTGGTAATACCAATCGACCCCACCACCCAAGCCCCGACACAGGACGGCGTGGCCACTTACACATACCGAGCCGCCCTCCCAATGACAGAGCAGGCGCAGCGCTGCACTTTTGAGGCAAAGAAACGGGCTTCCAGGTAGTTTTTCGTGGGCGACCCTTCAGCTACACTCCTGAGCGCCAAAGTTGGATGTGGATGTCAAGCCAGTGGGACATTGCCTAAGGGGAGAAGTGTCCCACCGGTTCTGGGGAGCGATGTGCCCTCCACCCCAGAACATGGTAGTGGGAAGAGCAGAATCTGAGTATAACTCGCTGGGGCTGGAGAGGCATCCCCAAGATGCAAGCTGGGGTTACTAAGGACAAAGTACTAGTAACAGGTCACCCCTAGAAGCCCACTGGCAGCCTTTCTTCAGGCCCGGGCAGCGCCCCCTCGCAACGACCTGGCGAGCTCCCCACCTCTCAGCGGGCATGGCCTGATGTAGTAACTGGCTTCCGTGTGTTTGGACAGAATGTAACTGCAATCAAATCGGGTCGCTGCACGACCGCTGTAACGAGACCGGCTACTGTGAATGCAGAGAAGGTGCCACCGGGCCCAAGTGTGACGACTGCCTTCCCAATTACTACTGGAGACAGGGCTGTTTCCGTAAGTACCCCAGGCCCGGGGTGAGGAGCAGGGTAGCAAATGCACAGCAGCACCCCCAAAGACTTGGCAGCTGGGGACCACGCTAGGCTAGGCAACGCTGGCCCAAGGAGCCACCAGCAGGGCAACCCGCTGCTGTGCTCAGGACCACAGCATGGCCAGCGCCCAGGAGGGAGGCAGTGGGGGGGAGCAAGCTTTGGGGGCACCCGGCAGAGAGCCCAGTGCATAGAGCTGTGAAGAGAACGGCAGTGGAATGCTGAGTCCTAATTAAGGCCATGTCATTGCATGCTGAAGGGCTGTGAGTTTAGAGCGTAGGTATGAGTGGCGCAGGGCAAGCGGACTAATACTGGGGTGAAAGTAACAAATTTCTTACCGGCCCTGTCATATTGCAAGCCCTCCAGGGAGCCCCCTCAGGGCAGGAGGTTGTGCTATGTACCAACATGAACTGTAAGGGTGAGGTGGAGTGGGGTGGGGCGCAAGGCAGGGGTGGGGGGTGTGTGTGCAGGAGCTAGGGTTGGGGGGGTGGGAGAAAGGGGCTCAGGGTAGAGCCGGGTATCTGTGGAGGGGAGCAGGAGAGTGTGTGCACGGGTGTTTGTGCATGAGGTAGGGCAAGGGGAGCTGAAGGCCCCCCCACAAGATTCCCGTCATGGAGTCAGTGCAGAGCTCATCTGCCCCGTGCCTCCCCTCCTCTTCCCCCCCTCCACCTGCGGGAGAGGAATGCATCAAGCTGTGCTTTTCCCCCTCACTCCCTGACACTGATGGGGAGGAGAAGAGGATGCAGAGTCCCGGTAGGAATCTCGGAGCAGCAGGGCAGCTTCATCCCGCTGCCCTCCCTAAACGGCGCCCTGGGTCAAGGACTGGGGCAGTCCCGGAGCGCTGGTGGAGCACACCCCAAGCCAGCCCCTTTCATCTGCCTGCTGCTTAGCACGTCAACCTGTGGCAGAGCTGTGGAAGCTGGGCAGGGAGCGTGCCCCCCATAGCCGAGCGGCCTGGCCAGCTGGCTGCTCCTTGCCGGAGTAGCGCACTGGGGCGCAGCAGCCTGCTTTTGCCTCTGATTAATACCAGCCTGTGGATTCTAGTACCAGTTTTAACACAGGCTCCTTCAGCGATGCCTTCTCCCCTACAGCTGCCCAGGGCTGGGGCCTTTCACTATCCCTTAATTATACTGCAGAGCATGAGCTTTCACTGTGGCACAGGGCTGAATGGTAGGAGCTGGGGCTGTGGGTATCTGGCAGTCACTCGCCGTGTTCTTTCCTCCCTCCCTGCCTTGCAGCCAACGTCTGCGACGAGGAGCTCTTGATTTGCCAGAACGGCGGCACCTGCTACCAGAACCAGCGGTGCCTCTGCCCCGATGGCTACAAAGGCGTCCTGTGCGAGCAGTCCAAGTGTGACACTGACGACAAGGCCTGCAACTCCGCCTCCAGCACATACCTCAGCCTCCCCCCCTTCCTCATCAGCGCACTCCTCCTCCAGCTGGGACACCGGTTGGACTTGTGAACGGCAAACACCAGGGAGCCAAGTCAAGGTGCATCACTGTGGGGGGAGGGGACCTAGGAGACGAAGGTCATAGGTAGCCTTCCTCGGCACCACCGCCTCAGCCTTCCTTTGCTCTAGGACTTCCATGTCGTAATGCAGTCCCCTGGCCGCAAAGAGGTGCAGCGTCTCAGGGGCTGACTCCTGTCCTTCCACCAGCAGCCTTGCTCAAACAGCCACATCCTGGCCAGAGGTGGCCGCAGCGTGGGCTCAGCTGCTGCGCGGCAGGGAGAGAACTGAGACAGGCATCGTGCACAAGCTGCAGGACGTTGGTGTCGTTTGAAAGGACTCTGGTCACTAACACTTCCTTAATA